CACACACACACACACACACACACACACACACACACACACACACACAATCTCCCAGAATCAATCCAATGGGCTGATGAAGTGCATAAAGACATGGTTCTCAAATGACATAGCTCTATGGGATGGGCTGATGAAGCGGATGATTTGCAACGTGTTCGTATCCCTTTAAAATCCGCTGAAGTCAAGGGACTGCAATGGTGCCAAGTGACTTGACAACAAACGTTGCTCCAAAGCAGAACTTTGCCTGGAAACGGTGAGGGTTCCATACCCATTGCAGAGATGTCGATTGTCTCCGAAACAGCGCGTCGTACGGTGTCTTCCCTCCATATCGCTTCTTCAAACCGTATTTTCTGTACAGCCTTCTCACATTCCCTACACTGCCTCTTCGCGTCAGGATCATTGGGTCTAATTCTGACAACCTGTCGTCCGAGGTTCACCAAAATTGACACAAACAAGAGAACAAAAAAACATTCCAAGAGTGCAATTCAAGTTACTTTCCGGCGAAGGAGCAAGTGCCCCCAAGGGCGGGGCGAGAAAAGAAACAACGAGTAGGTTGGAACACAATCACGTGGGAAAAGGCAACCAAAGCGAACACCAATCCAGCATAGTTCACAACATCTGCACACGCTCCTGCCGCATAGTGCACAGGAGCGAAATTTTACTCATTCACTAACATCCGAAAGAGGTGGGCTTATCCGGGACAAACTGATCGAAAGACAATCATCATCATCCAATGCACTACCAGCTTGAAGGATCAGGAATCACCATGCTTGAAGTCACCGGGCCAAAACGACTTGCAACTTCAAGCAGACTCAATTTCCCAGCCTCAATACCTGTCGAAAGTCCTTGAGGGCCTCTTTAAACTTGCCCATCAACAGATATGCAGTTCCACGCCTGTAGTAACCCTGTTTCATGCAACGAAAACGAAGAATTAGCTTCATGTGAAGCAGCCTGTTGAAAGTTGAAAAACGACTCATTGTCAAAAAGGGGAAGACCAGCCATTGAAAAACAAAAAAAAAAAAAAAAAAAGGTATCTAACAAAAGAGGAATCGTCACTCTCCTCCCCCAAACAAACAGCCTGCCCCAGTGTTGCTCGGTGTGGCTGTGTGCCTGTGTCGCTGTGCAAAGTGTCGGCGACTGCTCGTGTTCTTTGTGGGGACGGTCATTGAGAGATGGTGGGGGTGGACATACAAATGCCATGGGCCAGAGCTAAAAGCAATGCAACAGGCACAATCCACAGTCAACTGCATACATAAACATCAACCCTCCAGGTCCCTAGAGCAATTACCTGCCAACCACCGCCGGTGCTCCATACATCTGAAGCCTTCTCAGGCATGTCCAATGACCTTTCAACATCAGAACGCCCAAAAAAATCAAAACACCCTGCCGCTTCTCTTCACGATAATATAACAAGTGAGGCCATTGGATCCCCACATGCTTTCCTGATAATATAACAAGTGAGGCCACAGGATCCCCGCATGCTTTTTCACTACATGTGACTATGAAAAACGAAAATTTATGTCACAGTCATATACTTCCTGCCTCTCAAGTATTGCTGTTTTAAGGGATTCGGAAGGCGAATGAAAAAAAAGACCATAAAGAGAGAAGGGGGAGGGGGGGGGGGGGGGAGGGGAAGACTCTGAACTACGTTGTCATCTCAGCGGATGAGAAGAGATCCACCAAATATCCGTCCAATAGGGGCTCACGGCATCATGTGGGCTTCGAGGAGACTTAAGGACACAAAGCACTGGCAGCCAAAAGGTCTGAATTTAGTAAGTAATTAAAAAAAAAAAAAAAGCATGCACCAAGAGACATTGTTACATAAAATCAGTTCTGGACTAGATGCATGCGAGTTTCTGTTTCTAGCAAGTTATAAAATTAGTTCTGGACTATATGCATGCGAGTTTCTGTTTCTAGCCAGTTTCACCACCACTTTATCATGCCCAGGGGACAGGGATTGATTCCTCGAGTAAGTGCTCAAATTCGTTTTGGACAAGCGTTCGGAGTTCGTAAGCTTCTGTAGATCAGCGGTCCGTTGGACCACACATTCTGATGAACAGTGCGTGCACATTTCCCACAAATTCGAATGCACACAGGGATTCAGAGAAAGAACATTCACTTCACCCTTCAACCAAATTATCTATGCACACACATTCCAATCCACGATTCCAGTGCACATTTCCCACAAATTCACACACGACTCCCCATGACGAGAAAGAGCCATAGCTTACCTTGTCGAAGGCGGTGGTGGCAGCAATGGCTGCCAAGCTGCTTGCAGAAGGAAGGAGGCCTACGTTGCTGGTACTGGCCTCCATCTTCGTTCCTGAGCTTCTGCCACTGATGTCGGTCAGACACGCCATCAACTTTTACACATTCATCTGGGATTGACTTACTTTTAGGTCACTCCGAACTTCACCGCTTGCATTCTTCTTCTTTCTCTTCTTTCTCCTCTTTCTCTTCTTCTTTCTCATGTTCAGAGTTATCTGGCGCTCTCCCTTCTCTTAGTGCAATGGACACTCACATGCTGAGAGTTTCGCATACTCGATTGGCTGCATGCCCTGGCTTATTCCATCTTTCTTTATATTTCGCTATTCATCCCCTTGCATTCACCCTAACAATCTAGCAGAGGTGGCACCGAATACTAGAACATCCATCTCTACATGCCTCCCTGAGTGGACGGACAATCATGCAAACTCCTCGTACCTGGCAGATGCTACCAACACCCGGGGCAGCAAGCAGCATTGCACAAACACAATGTCCATAGTCTCACAATGTTCAAAAAAGAAGATTTCAACTCTGATACCAATGATTTGAAATTCTTCGACTTCATGTATTCCTAAGCCGAGGAACTACAAGAAGGCAGAAACGCGGTCATGAAGGCGAACCACCAACCTTGACATACTTGCGGTCAAGCTCAATCGCTGTTGTAGAATCCTCAACTGCACTTCCATATTCTTCAAGCTTTGTGTGTGCAAATGCCCTGTTAGCATAGTACACAGCACACTTGGGATTCGCTTCGATTGCCTGAGTGTACAAGTCGATCGCCTGCTGGAATTTACGTTCTGCAAAAGCGCCATGCAGTCAGAAATCGACCACAGCTTTTTCGCTATTGTAGGCCATAAGCTGGGTGCCAAGCAGTTAGCAATCAACACTAGCAGATCGCCTGCTGGAATTTACTCTCTGTGAAAGCATCATGCAGACATGAAATCAACAATTGCTTGTTCTCTGTTGTAGGCCATAAGCTGGGTGCCAAGCAGTTGGAAATCAACACTAGCATAATGAACGGCGGCATCACAAGAACCCAAGTATACTCCAGCCGCACCGAGATATTGTCCTACAGATGAGATGTCCGGCTATTCTCAAATAGGAACCAAGTAGGAGGATATACTTCAAGACAGCTCATACTGTAAATCTACTTTACAAAGGTCTACTGACGATGGGTCCTTGGCCATAATACAAGGGATAGTGTCGGGCTACTCCAGGATAGCATCGGGCTATTCCAGGATAGTGTCGGGCTATTCCAGGATAGTATCGGGGTATTCCAGTATAGTGTCTGGCTATTCCAGGATAGTGTCGGGCTATTCTGAAATACTGTTGTAGTGTCGGTCTATTCTCAAATACTGTAATAGTATCCGGCTATTCTTTTTTTTTTTTTTTTTTTTTTTGCAATATCCGGCTTTTCTCAAATACACTGTAATAGCGTCGGGCTATTCTCAAATGCTGTAATAGTATCGGGCTATTCCCAAATACTACAGGAATACCTGCCATAATTCAAGGGATAGCACATGTAGGAATTTGCCAGTGCAGGTGCATCTCTCTCCCACTCAGTGTTCCTGTTTTAGCTTCAACCTTAAAACTTTGGATGCAACTGTTTAAGCTTCAACCTTAAAACTGTGGATGCAACCGAACACTTTTATAAGTTTAACCACAGGCGAAG